GGAGCCCAGCAGGTCCAGGCTGCAGTGGCCGGCAGCGGCCACTGCACTCCAGTCTGGGCGACAGAGTGAGATTCCAACTCAAAAAAAATAAATAAAGGCCCAAGACAAAACCCCTGCAGACTCTTCTGTCCCTGAAGGCCACTGCCCCAACCCTGCTCTGCCTCTATCTCACAGTGAAGTCCTGGAAGGTAGGACAGCAGAGGTCAGAAGCTGGGGAAGGGTCGACTGTGAGAGGACCCGGGTGGGGGGTGGGAAAGAGGGTTGGGAGAGGCAAGGAGGAGGAGAACCCCCTGCAGACCTGGCAGCCACGCTGGTCTGAATGGGGAAGGGGCTCTCATATCAAGCCAGGCTGGGTGAGGGAGCAAATAATGAGGGTAAGGGCACTCCTTGGGTGATTGACCTCCGCCCTCAGGCCACTATCAGCCTTCTGATTACCAGTTTGTAGGACATTTACTCTTGGCTTCTTAATTTTTTTGAGTGGGAGTCTCACTCTGTATCCCAGGCAGGAGTGTAGCAGCACACTCACAGCTACTGCAGCCTCGACCTGCAGGGCTCAGGCGATCCTTCCACCTCAGCCTTCCAAGTAGCTGGAACTGTGGACACGCGCCACCATACCTGGCTAATTTTTTGATTTATTATAGAAATAAGGTCTCGTCATGTTGCCCAGGCTGGTCTCGAACCCTTGGTCTCAGGCAATCCTCTCGCCTCTGCCTCCTAAAGTGCTGGGATTACAGGCGTGAGCCACTGAGCCCGGTCAACTTTATTTATTTATTTATTTTTTTGAGTTGGAGTCTTACTCTGTCGCCCAGACTGGAGTGCAGTGGCCGCTCCCAGCCACCGCAGCCTTGACCTGCTGGGCTCCGGCGATCCTTCCGCCTCAGCCTTCCGAGTAGCAGGAATTACAGGCACGCGCTACCATGCCCGGCTAATTTTTTGATTTATTGTGGAGATGAGGTCTCACCTGCCCAGGCGGCTCTCGAACCCATGGGCTCAGGCAATCCATTCACCTCAGCCTCCCAAAGGCGCGGGATTCCAGGCTGAGCCACCGAGCCCTGTTAACATTTTTTTTTTTAATGTTCAAATGTTTTTTGAAAAATGTTCAGTCTTGTTATTAAAAAGCTTTGCCTGGACTTAGGGGATATTAGTAGCTTGGGAGGAGGGTGGCAAGGACTTCTTTAAGCTGTGTCACACAGGGTTGGAAAATGGCCAGAGCAGAAAGAGGAAAAGGGAAGCCACACGAGCCAGCAGGAATCGGGTAGAGGCTTTCTGGGGAACACGTCCAGAAAGACAGGCAGAAGAGCAGACAAATGGATGGCACAGACCGCCAGCTGAAGGCTTGCTGCCAGGGAGACATGCAAGCAGAACAGGTACTCACAAAGGTAGGGATTGGGGGGTAGTCTGGCTTCTTGGTCTTGTAGCAGGCACAGCAACAGCAAACAAACCGGAACATTCTCCTGAGAGATTTCGAAGGTGGGAAGAGGCTAGTTGGAGGACAGGGCCTGGGAAATGGGGGCGCAAGCTAGGTGGCATGCAGGGGCTGGGGCTTGGGGGGTGGGAGCAGGAGCTCTGAGGTCCTCACCTGAGAAGGTAGAAAATGGCCTTGGGAGAGGGCAGGATGTTGAAGGGCACAGGCAGTGTCAGGCCCTCTCGAAAGAAGGACAGGTAGAGCTTGGAGCGAGCAAACTTCCACTCCACGTCGGCATCATCCTGGGGGCCGGGAGGTAGGGAGCTGTCAGGACCCCTTTGGAAACTGACCCGCCCACCCACTCTGTCGCTCTTTCTTCTCCCAGTCTTATCTCCATCCTCACGATCATCCCCCCCAGTTCCCCTACCTTCAGCCCCTTGCCTCTCTTCCCCCAATATCCCTCATTCTTCTAACATCCTATCCAGCCTGCAGACCCTAAGTCACCCGTTTCCTTTCTTCCCCTTCTCGTGTTCCTACCCACTTTCCTGGAGTGGAAAGAACACTAGACTTGGTGTCTGGAATTACCAATAGCGTGACTAAGAGTCTCATTTTACAGAGCCACTAAACGAGACAACAGTGGAGGCAGAACAAGAACCCAAGTATCTCAACTCACTGCACCTGATTCCTGCCTTCCCTTCTCCCTTCTTCTCCCTGGCCTGAGCTGGCCTAACTCATGCACCTCAATCTTCTGGAAGGAGTTGGTGATCATGGCGATGAGCATGTTGAGCAGCACAATGACCATGACGATGGTGAAGAGGCCGTAGAGGGCCCGGCCCACGAATTCAGGCACCAGAAACTGAGGCATGTCTACCACACTGTGCTCCTCCATGCCAAACATGGTCCAGAACAGAAACTGGAACGTCTCGTTGAAACTGGCATGCCCGGCCAAGTAAGGGACAGGAAACCAGGGGTGAGAGAGGAGCCAACTCCACCCAGGCACACTCCTCCTCCCCCTCCAGGACCCAGCCGAGGGCGTTCTGCTTCCATGAAGCCCTTTGGACCAACCCGGTGCATACACACACTTGCCATTTCTGAGTTCCAAATTTAATTCTTTTAGTCAACCAGTATTTCCTGAGCACATCGTAGTGTCATAGATGCTAAGGACGCATCTGTGGACAAAACAAGCATAGTCCTTGTCTTCAAGGACCTTCAGTTCTGGGGTGGGAGTGGGTGAGATGGACACTACTCATATTACACTGGAAGTTGTGGTCAGCATTGTGGAGGAGCCATGTAGGATGCTATGACCTTGTCTGGGTTGGGGAAAGCGCCCTAGAGAAGCATTCAAGCTAAGCTCCAAAGGCCACATGGGAACCAACGTGTGAGGGAAGGAGGTGTGGAGAAGCGTCCCAAAGGCAGGGGAGTATGGGGGCGTTTAAGAAACTGAGGCCAGCTGGCCTCAGGGACTAGGCAGAGAGAGGCTTGTGAGAGGTAAAGCGGGACTAAAACAAAGATCCTACCCAAGGCCTAGAAGAATAGGAAGCCTTGGAGAGTCCTAAGTGGGGAGGGTGGGGAGGGGTGCCTGATTTGCATTTGAGAAGATCATGTTGGTTGCTGTGAGCCAAATGGAAGGGAAGCAGGTGAGAAAGGAGGCAGGGAGACCAGCTGAGAAATGCCTCCGGCTGGGAAAGGCAGGATGGAGCACACTGGTAGCAACTCCAGTGTTATCTCTTCCAGGAAGCCTTTCCTGAACTCCCTTCTCTGCACCCAGCAGAACGTCCTTAGTCACTCACAGACCTGTTAGTCACTCACAGACCTGATCACACTTTCTCTCCTATTGTATTTCTTGTGAATCTGTCTTAATTCCCTCCATCTCAGCACCAGTTCAGCCGTAGTCTCTCACACCAGCACATGGAGAGGGTTTTGTGAGCGGGTAGCTGGGCCAGGTCAACTGTTCATGAAGGTCTTGCTGGGGAGCTTGGGCTTTCTCCAGCAGGCCAAGGAGGTCTAGATGCCTCCCAAGCAATTGCCCAGTCACAGATTCTTCATGACGCCAACTGTGTGGTGGTTTCATTGGTGATGCCAAAGGACCCACACTTGGGCCGATGGATATTGGTTAAGGCTTTCTCATGGTTCCAGTGTACAAAGAAGCTTTATTCAGACCAGTCCTCCTACAAATAATTCTTGTTCATAGACTGACTTTAGGCTGTTAGCTTACACAGTTTAAACTGTGAATCTTTGTTGTTTTTTTTTTGAGTTGGAGTCTCACTCTGTCACCCAGACTGGAGTGCAGTGGCCGCTCCCAGTCACCGCAGCCTCGACCTGCTGGGCTCCGGCGATCCTTTCGCCTCAGCCTTCCCAGTAGCCGGAATTGCAGGCATGCGCTACCACGCCCGGCTGATTTTTTGATTTATTGTAGAGATGAGGTCTCACTGCCCAGGCGGGTCTCGAACCCCCGGGCTCAGGCAATCCACTCACCTCAGCCTCCCAGAGGTGCGGGATTACAGGCTGAGCCACCGAGCCCGGCTTAAACTGTGAATCTTAGTGCCAGGGAAAGTCACTGCTTATTTCACCTGCTTCATGGGTGCTGGTGGCATCACTTCACAGTGGATGACGTCTTGCCATTCTCTACACATGCCTCCCTGCTTTTTGCCTTCTTTGAAGTCCATGAATCTTCTAGGGGAGTTCCACTTGTTCCTTCCCTGTGATGCCTGATAATCTAAAATAAAGGAAGGGGCTTCCTCCTCTGGGCACCCTCAGAACAAATCCTTTCTCATACACTCAGTATCCCACACTGAGCTTATCTGTGCACATGGCTATCTTCTCCATGACAGTGGGTCTGGTTTATCTCTCCTGCCTGTGCTTCCACTGCCAGACACAGGATCTACTAAAAGAGGGTGTCAGTAAATGGGTGTGAACTTAATGACAGTAAAAAACTTAAAATGACTGAATGGCTAAGAAAGTGAACACATTTTAAAGGTGAGGGAATGGATGAATGAACAATGAAAGAGTAAACACATGCGCGCCTGTAGTTCCAGCTACTCGGAAGGCTGAGGCGGAAGGATCGCTGGAGCCCAGCAGGGCGAGGCTGAGGTGGCCGGGAGCGGCCACTGCACTCCAGTCTGGGCGACAGAGTGAGACTCCAACTCAAAAAAAAAAAAAAAAGAAAGAGTAAACACATATAAGAATTAATTATTGTCTGGGTGAGGTGGCTCAAGCCTATAATTCCAGCATTTTGGGAGGCCGAGGAGAGAGGATTGCCTTAGCCTGTGGGTTCGAGACCAGGGAGGAGAGAGGATTGCCTGAGCCCACGGGTTCCCCGCCTGGGTAACATGGTGAGACCTAGTCTCTACAATAAATCAAAAAAGTAGCCAGGCATGATAGCACATGTCCGAAGGTCCAGCTACTTGGAAGGCTGAGGTGGAAGGATCGCCTGAGTCCAGCAGGTCGAGGCTGTGGAGGCCAGGAGCATGCCACTGCACTCCAGCCTGGGTGACAGAGTGAGACTTCAACTCAAAAAAAAAAAAAGAATCAATTATTGGCAGCTGGGCACTGTGGCTCACACCTGTAATTCTAGCACTTTGGGAGGCCAAGGCGGGAGGACTGCCTGAGCCCAGGAGTTCAAGACCAGCCTAGGCAACTTGGTGAGACCTCATCTCTATAAGAAATAAAAAAAATTAGCCAAGTGTGCTGGCACCTACAGGCTGAGGAGGGAGGATCCCCTGAGGCCATTAGATCAAGGCTGCAGTAACCATGATCCTGCCACTGTACTCTAGCCTGGGTGACAGAGTGAGACTCTGACTAAAAAAAAAAAAAAAAAAAAGAATGAATTATTGGCCATATTTAGGAAGAACTGAGCACCAAAAAGAATAAAGACTAATGGATTATTGTACTTATGCTTGAAAAAGAAGGTAGGTGAAAGCACTTCTCTGTGGAAGAATGCCTACTAATAAATGGAGGAGAAAGCTGGGTGTGGTGGCTCACGCCTGTAATCCCAGCATTTTGGGAGGCCTTGGCAGGAAGATCGCCTGAGCCCAGAAGTCTGAGGCCAGCATGGGCAACAATGCAAGACCCCGCCTCTACAATAAATAAATATAAGAAGAAAAATCACCATTTTTAAACCACCATTGTAACAACTGATTCAGGTAAAAATCATCTATATGGATGATAAAGTCACTTGGTAAAAGTTTGCGAGGGAGCACTTTAGTCACACAGACGCAACATGTCTTCCTGTTATTAAAAGGGCTTCCCTGGCACCGTAACAAAGGAGACTTTGCTGGACCAGTGGGCCTCATCAGTGGGCACACTGACATGCGTCTCCAGACAGGGTGATGCAATAGAAAGCACACACTATCAACTAGGTTGTGCTCTTGCCCAAACTGCTGACCTTGAGTCCTATCATGAGGAAATAGATCAATCCCAACTGTGAACTAGAACTTGGTCCATACTCTGCAACAATATTTGTTTGTTGTGAAAGAAAAAGAAGAGGTAGGGGGACTTTGGACTTCCAAAGTGCTGGAATTACAGATGTGACCCACTATGCCTTTTCTGCAACTTTTAAGTTTCAGAAAATAAATAAATAAATAAATAGAGCAATAGATCAAGTGTGGCAAAAGTATAGCAACTGGTGAAGCTAGGTGAAGGTTATACGGGTGTCCACTATACTTTTTAACTTTTTAATAGGATTGACATTTTTCTTTTTCTTTTTTTTTTTTGAGTTAGAGTCTTACTCTTGTTGCCCAGGCCGGAGTGCATTGGTATGCTCATGGCCGCCGCAGCCATGATCTACTGAGTTCAGGCGATCCTTCCGCCTCAGCCGATCTTTCTGCCTCTGCCTTCTAGCAGCTGGAACTACAGACACACACCACCAAGCCCGGCTAGTTTTTTTGTGATTTATCGTAGACACGAGGTCTCACCAAGTTCCCCAGGCTGGTCTTGAACCCCTGGACTCAGGCAATTCTCTATCCGTCTCAGCCTCCCAAAGTGCTGGGATTACAGGCTGAGCCACCGTGCCCGGCCAGGATTGACATTTTTCAAAATAAAAAGTTTGAGGAGAAAAATGAGTGAATTGATGAATGCATAAGTGAACAAATAGATGAGTGACAGAATTAATCAATGAAGGAGTGAGCAAACAGAATTAACTGAGTGCACAGATGAGGGAATAAGAGAGACAGGAAGGGGAGATCACTAGGGCTCCAAGCTGCAATGTCCCAGACTCCCCCCACCTGCCATCCTGCCCCTGCCCCAGCATACTTGCCCAGCCGTTCTGTCTCCTGGTAGGGTACATAGATGTTGTTGAGGCCACAGAGGAAGGCAGTTAGGATGATCATGAGGATGAACATGAACCTGGCAGGGGCAGGATGTGGAAGGGTCAGAGCAGGTCTCCACCCTGGGAGAAGTCAGGCTCTGGAAAGTGAAATTGGGTGATGGCCTTCCTGGCTCTCTGCTTGACAGGTATTCAGTTATTATTAAGAACAATTACCTTTGGGAGGCTGAGGTGAGTGGATTGCCTGAGACCGCCGGTTCGAGACCCGCCTGGGCAGCGAGACCTCATCTCTATAATAAATCCAAAAAATCAACCGGGCGTGGTAGCACACGCCTGTAATTCTGGCTACTCGGAAGGCTGAGGCGGAAGGATCGCCGGAGCCCAGCAGGCGAGGCTGCGGTGGCCAGGAGCGACGGAGTGAGACTCCAACTCAAAACAAAAAACAAAAAACAAACAAGAACAATTAGCCGGGCGTGGTAGCACCCGCCTGTAGTTCCAGCTCCTTGGAAGGCTGAGGCGGAAGGATCGCCGGAGCCCAGCAGGTCGAGGCTGTGGTGGCCGGGAGTGGCCACTGCACTCCAGTCTGGGTGACAGAGTGAGACTCCAGCTCAAAAAAAAAAACAAGAAAAAAAAACCAAGAACAAAGAGGTTGGGCTCAGTGGCTCAGCCTGTAATACCAGCACTTTGGGAGGCCGAGGCGAGTAGATTGCCTGAGCCTGTGGGTTCGAGACCCGCCCGGGCAACTTGGCGAGACTTCAATTCTGTAATAAATCAAAAATTAACCGGCGAGGTAGCGTGCCCCTGTAGTTCCAGCTACTTGGAAGGCTGAGACGGAAGGATCGCCGGAGCCCAGCAGGTGGAGGCTGCGGTGGCTGGAAGCATGCCACTGCACTCCAGTCTGGGCGACAGATTGAGACTCCCAACTCAAAAAAAAAAAGAATAAAGAAATTAGGGGGCGGGAAAGGAGACAGGAAATGGGCAGACACTCTCCTTTCATGAATTCTTTAATGGGTACTGAGTCCAAGCAGTCAAAGCTGGGTATGGACCAGTCTTCCAGAGGTAACATACAAGGATGACACAGGGATGGTCAGGAGTTGAAGTGTCCCATTGGACAGGAGTTACTACTAGAAGCGTTAAAGCCATCTGTGAGAATGAGTTAGCCTGTCACAGGGAGGGCTAGAAGAATTTTGGGGTGGGGTGGGAGGTTCTCCCCTAAGCTAAGCTGAACTGAAGCTGTTAATAGATATAATTAAGGCTTTTCCCACCAAGGACATCCATTTCAGTCCTACCTCAGGCAGGTGATCCCCCGGGCAGTAGGTATTAGCTACAGGCTCTGATATCAGGGTAAGAGACCAGGTTTGGCTATACATGATTAGGTGATAAGCACCAAGAAGACCAGATAATGACATGGGTTCAAAGAGCATTCAGTTGTAGAACGGGAAGGATCCAAAGGAACCCGAGTCCAGTGGCTTAACTTTCCTTAAAGATGGGGAAACTGGCTGGGCATGGTGGCTCATGGCTATAATCCCAGCACTTTGGGAGGTGGAGGCAAGAGGATTGCCTGAGCCCAGGGATTCAAGACCAGCCTGGGCAACTTGGCAAGACCTCATCTCGATAATAAATAAAAAAATCAGCTGAGTGCGGTGGCACATGCCTGTAGTGCCAGCTACTTGGAAGGCTGAAGCAGAAGGATCACCTGAGCCCAGCAGGTCAAGGTTGCTGTACTTGTAAGCGTGCCACTGCACTCCAGCTTGAGTGACAGTGAGACTCCGACTCCAAAAAAAAAATGGGGAAACTGATGCCCAGAGAGGGATCACAGAGAAAGTGACAGAAGGGGAACTGGAACTCCCAATCAAGGACTCTTTCTGCTATCAGTGGATTGTCATCTCTTCTGGGGTCATTGGCCTCTTTGAGAATTAAATGAAGATGATAGACCCTCTCTGTAGAGAAATATACATTTACATTTACACTCCACATTTTGCCTGTAGTTTTAGGGCTTCAGAGGTCTCTGGAGCCTATGCCTCTGGAGGAACACAGGTTGAGAACTGAGGTGTCTCAGAGGGAGATCGAGTGGAGCCTGTCAGAGAGGAGTGTGCCGAGAGGGGCAGTACGCACCTCATCATGTCATCAATCATCTTGCCAATGGAAATCTGCAGAGTGCCCAGCGACTCGTGGGCTGGCAGAATGTAGGCCAGGCGGGTGAAGCTGAGCATGCTGGTGACAGCAAAGAGCACCTCAGCCAGGAACTGGGGGTCCTCCGTGCGCCACTCACTTCGTTCTGTGCAGAGTGGAATGGGGCTGTGGCTGAGAGCCCGGAACCAGGAGGGAAGAGAAACGGGAGGCAGGGTGGGATTCAGGGCTGAGGTCGGGGGCACTCACCAGCCATGGTGAAATAGTGGCAAGCAGCCCCATCGGGGGTATCCCGGCAGTGCACGTGGGCAAGCCCAGCCAAGAGGAGGCGCAGTGCGAAGGCTGCCAGGTACAGGGACAGGATGACCACATCCAGGAAGTTCCACCAGTCCAGGAGGTAACTGCGCAGGCCCTCAATCCACACTTCCTTGCACTCAAACCACAGGAAGCCTGAAGGGGGGTGGCAGAGAGCCAGGACAGGCTGGGACAGAACTCTACTACATCAGAGCTAGATGGTGGTGGGGGGTGGGGGAGCCTAAGTGTGGGCATGGGGAACTAAAACATTATGGGGTGAAGTCGATAAAATATAAACCTTTAATCTGCTCCAGTGATCTTATGTGAAAATAAAAGAGATTCCTGATGTAGAGTTATCACTGATGTGACCTGCTCCGATGACCACAGTCAACTGTGGTCAACACAGTTGAAAGCAACACCCAGGAGAGGATATTTATCAGGAGGGAAGGACTTAAGTCTGTTTCTCCTTGTCCTCCACCTAATAGATATTGGACAAACATTTAAAGAGTATTAACTTGAAGGGGCTCCAAATTATCAGCCTGCTAAGGGTGCCCATGTCTCAGGGTGGCCTAGTACCGGCCTGAAGATGGAGGTCTTGGGAGCTGGACCCCATTAGCTGAGTGATCCTGCCACACTGTACCCTTCTCGTCCCTGGATACTATCGTGTGCTTTTTCACTCAGGGTTCGCTCAGCCTAGAATGTCCTTCCACAGCTTTGGAAACCCAGCTTGCCTTTGTGGCTCAGTTCACATAGCGTATGACGTAGCCTTCCCTAGCCAGGTGGGGTGACTTGTGCCCTGTTCCGTGTTCTCAGAGCTCTCTGTTCACACCTCTGTGGTGCCTTCACTACAGGGCACTGCAGATCTCTTCATGGATCTTTCTTTTTTTTTTGAGTTGGAATATCACTCTGTCACCCAGGCTAGAGTGCAGTGGCACACTCACCACCCCAGCATTGACCCTCTGGGCTCCAGAGATCCTTCTGCCTTAGTCTTCCGAGTAACTGGAACTACAGGTGTGTGCTACCATGTCCGGATAATTTTTTGATTTATTGTAGAGATGAGGTCTCGCCAAGTAGCCTAGGCTGTTCTCAAACCAATAGGCTCAGGCAGTCCCCTCACCTTGGCCTCCCAAAGTGCTGGGATTATAGGCTTGAGCCACCGTGCCCGGCTCATGGATCTGTTTCTCCCTACCCCCCAAACATGGAGCCCCTCAAGGGCAGGAGCCGTGTTCAGCTCATCTCTTTTTCCACAGTGCCAAGAATAAATTAAACAAATATTTACTAAACTCCTACCATGTGCCAGTGGGATCCTGTGGCGAACAGGACAGACACAGTCCCTGCCCCTCCCAGGATTTATAATCTAGTACGGAACACAGGCAAGTCACCAAGTAGGTACAGTGCAGTGTGGTAAATGCAAAGACCAAGGAGCAGGGAACAGAGCGACTACTATGGGGGTGCTTAGGAATGGATCCTCACCCTGATTTGGGGGCCAGGAAAAGCTTCTCAAAGAAAGTGATGTTTGGCTAGGCTTGGTGGCTCAACCTGTAATCCCAACACTTTGGGAGGCCGAGGTGAGTGCATTGCCTGGGCCCGTGGGTTCGAGACCCACCTGGGCAACTTGGGGAGACCTTGTCTTTACAATAAATCAAAAATTAGCTGGGTGTGGTAGCATGCGCCTGTAGTTCAGTTACTTGGAGGGCTGAAGCAGAAGAATCGCTGGAGCCCAGCAGGTGGAGGCTGCGGTGGCCGGGAGCGGCCACTGCACTGCAGTCTGGGTGACATAGTGAGACTCCAACTCAAAAAAAAACCAAAAAACTACAAAAAAACCTTTCTGTTTCTATAATAGATCACTATTATAGACTTGAAATCCATCCAAATTGCTGTGAAGTACATAATTTTGTCCTTCTTTATGGTTGCATAATATTCTATCATGTATATATACCACATTTAAAAAAAATCCAGTCCACTTTCAATGGGTAGCAAGGTTGGTTCCATGTTTTTGCTATTGTGAATAATGCTGCAATAACGATGCATGTGCAGGTATCCTTCTTATAGAATGATTTGAGTTCCTCTTATATTCCCAGAAAGGGAATTGCTGGGTCATATGGAAGGTTAATTTTTAGATCTTTTAGGAATCACCACACTGTTTTCC